GAACCTATTACAAGGATCTACATATAACCTCCTCCCTGGGGGACGGACAACAGAAAAGTGGGTGAAGGGAGACATCGGACAGGGCAAAATATGACAAAATTTATAAATTATCAAGGGTTCATAAGGGAGGGGGAGCGGGGAAAGAGGGAAAAAAATGAGGACCTGATGCCAGGGGCTTAGGTGGAGAGCAAACATTTTGAGAATGATAAGTGTAATGAATGTACAAATGTGCTTTACACAATGGATGTATTTATGGATTATGATGAGTTGTATGAGCCCCTAATAAAAATGATAAAAAACGAAGAGCTGATACCAAGGGTTCAAGTAGAAATAAAATATTTTTAGAATGATGATTGGAATAAATGTACAAATGTGCTTGACACAATGGATGGATGTATGGATTGCGATAAGAGTTGTATGAGCCCCAAATAAAATGATTTTTTAATAAAAAAAGAACACCAGACCTTTCTTCCAAGGCACCTCTGAGTGAACTTAAACTTCAAGCCTTTCAATGAGCATTGCACAGCATGCGACCTGTTTGTACCACCTAGGAACTCCTAAGGAATCTTTGCTGTTGTCAGGTGTCATTGAGCTTGTTCCAACTCGTAGAGACCTAAGGTACGACAGAACAAAACACTGCCCGCTCCTGTGCCATCCTCACAATTGTTCTTCTGCTTCAACACGGTGTTGCAGCAAGGTGCCAATCCATCTTGTTGAGGGACTTCCTCTTTTTCGCTGCCCCTTTAAGTGCTGGGCTACTAACTGTAAGGTTGAAAACCACAAGCCGCTCTGCAGGAGAAAGACTGGGCTTTCTACTCATGTAAAAGGTTTGGAAACCCACAGGAGCAGTTCTACCCTGTCCTATCAGGTCGCTATGAGTCATCATCCACTCAATGGCAGTGACTTTGATTCTTTTCAACTTTAGCAAGCAGGACCTCTTTCTCCAGGAACTGGAGAATAATTAGGAAGTTATTAAAAGAGCTGCATTGATCACTAGGTGGCAGCAGAGATTCAGGAAAACACACTAGACCAACGCAGTTCTGCAGCTGTGGGACAGGGCGGTTTAAGGAAATCGTCTACAGGTGTTCTCTGAACTTCAGCCATGTCATTGGCAAGGGCTGTCTTCACATCCGTCCGAGCAAGGTAACATGGGTAGGATGTCAGGGAGCTGGGCGGGAGGCAGGCAGGGAGGACTGGCAACTAGCAAGGGACTCAGTCAAAAAAAAAAAAAGAAAAAGAATTTGGATTTCCATCTCTGGGGAGGTTGACTGCAGGACACCAATGTCCTATCCTTCACGTTGTCATTTTTATCCGTAAATTGAGGAAACAGTTGAAAGTCACTTTTTGACATCTGTGACTCTCTTGAGGAAGGAGAAGCAGGATTGGGTACTTTAAAATACAGAATTGGACCTCCCAGTGTTTTGTTTTCTGTTAAAAAACAATTTAGAGCAATGATCTGGATCAAATTAGATGAAATCAACTGAGGCTGGGATTTTCGATCCTAAATGTGCACAATCACGACAGAGCAGACACTGTCTAAGAAAAGCTGGGGGCTCAACTGCCATGCGCATGGAGAACGTGAAGTTCAGTAAATGCCACCAGTCCGAGGGGCTCCCAGGAAAAGCAGTCATGAACTGGGCCCACATGAAAGGGATGATGGTAGATGAAGCAACAGTGAAGCCAGCGACCCCTGCCTCTCACCTCCATTATCGCTACTCACTCTCACTGCCATCGAGTTCATTCCGACTCATAGGGACACTATAGGACAGGCTAGAACTCCCCCTGTGGGTTTCTGAGACTAACTCTTTATGGGAATAGAAAGCCTTCTTTTTCTCCCACAGAGGCTGGTGGATTTGAACTGCTGACCTTCTAGCTAGGAGCCTAATGTGTAACCCACTACGATGCTACAGCTTCTGAAATGGTCTCATGCTTCTTCCTATAATTGGTGCCAACCCCTCCTCTTCTCCATGGCCACTAAGCTGATGTCACTACAATTCAGACAGAAGGTGTCGCTCCCCTGCTTGAAGCGATTCTGTGGTGCCCCTGAACTCAGGCTCCGGTCCTGGAGGACCATCCTGCTTCTGCTCTCAACTGTCCCCAGCCCCTCTCATGTGTCCCCACCACAGTGCACTTCCTCCAGTAGCCAGGACATGATATGTCTTGCCACTGCCAGTCCTGGGGGCTTGTTGCCTCAAGCTCAGAGCACCCTATTCTTCTCCCCACCCCCACCCCCATCGTGTGCACTCTCTCCAGGAATTTCCGTTAGCAGGAAGAAGCTACCTCATCCAAGAGTTTGTCCTTGGGCTCATAGCCAATGGCTGGTCCCATTTCCAGCTCCCCCAGGCTTCCCTTTGCACTTGTCTCAGTTCACTGGCCCCCTTTTCCAGGCCCACCTTCCTCACGCACGAGTGATGCTTCCTGGAGCCAATCCACTGTCTTCTGTTCTGTGTAGATTGGCTCCCACAATCACGTTCTCTCAGTACAGGTAGTCCCTGACTTAGGACGCAGCTATGGCAAAGGTGTACCATATACAATGTTAAACTAGATCTGTACATTTGTGTGTAATATTTCCAACCCCCGAAGACAAATTAAGGCCCGATTGATAAAGATATTGATAATAAGAACAAAAATAATGTGAACTACATATGTAGAGAAAGCAGTATTCAACTTAGGAACCAGCTTCAGGTGGGAGTAGTCATCAGACTGGAACTCCGTCGTACGTGGGGGCTATGGAAACATGAGTCGTAATGGAGGAGGAATTGCATTCATTTCTCATGACTATGTGTATAGGGTAACAGATTATTGTCAGACTCAATTTTTTGCATACAGCATCTGGAGGAAGACATCATGTGTGTTGACGTAGAGGGCTGGGAGGCCGAGAGGGGCCCTTCAGTGAGACAGATGGGCACACTGGTGATTGTGAGGACGACACAGAACTAGACACCACTTTCTTCTGTTTGTGCATAACATCTCTATGCATTGGATCTCACTGTTAGCTGCCCCCACCACCTACAGGGTCAAACCTGAACAGATGAGCAGTTGCTCTAGAGCTTAGGTATTCAACACAACAGTCACTGGATATAGGTGGCTATTGAATATGTGAAAGTTCATGAGTCTAAATAGAGCTGCACTATGGGAATAAGCGCTGGTAGTGCAATGATTAAGTGTTGAGCTGCTAACCAAAAGGTTGGTGGTTCAAAACCACCAGCCGCTCCATGGGAGAAAGATGTGGCCATTCATAAATGTCTACAGTCTTGGAATCCCTATGGGCATATAGACTTTGTCCTCAATAACAACAGACATAACAGCAACAGAGTTTCTGTGTTGTTTTTTTTTAATTTTAGTTTGTCTTAGAAGGGTAAACTATATGCTGAACTTCAAAGACTTTGCACAAAAAAGGAATGTAAAATTAGTGTATGGATTACCTATTGAAAGTATGATATTCTGGAGCAATTAGACTAACGATAGATATTATAAAAATAATTTCACTTGTTTATTTAAAAAATTTTAATGTGAGTGCTCAGACAAACCAAACTCACTGCCATCGAGTCAATTCTGACTTGTGCCAATGCTAGAAGACAGGGTGGCTCTGCCCCTGTGGGTTTCTGAGACTGTAACTCTTCACAGGAGTGGAAAGCCCCATGTTTCCCCGGAGGAGCAGCTGGTGGTTTTGAACTGCGGACCTTCTGGTTGGCAGCCCAACATTTAACCACTATGCCACCAGGGCAGCTCTCACTGTATTTCGGTGTCCCCACTGCTCTATTGGCTTCATTAACATTTATTAGCGACAAGATGTGCACAGAGCCACTGAGCTGCCGGGGTGGGAGTGTCCCAGTGGAGGGTGGCTGATCGCTTGCTGTAGAGAAGCTTTTCAGGATTTTCACAGGCATTGAAATGACTCGGCTTTTCCATTTCTTTTTTGACTGCCACTGAGTTGACTGTGACTCACAGCGACCCCATGTGTGTAGGGTAGAACTTAGAGCCACAGGGTTTTTAAGGCTTTCATGAGTCTTTCTTCCAGGGTCCCTCTGTGACCTTGAACTTCCAGGCTTTCAGGCAGCAGCCAACCCCTCCCTCCGGCCTTCAAGCTTGAGTTGTGCTTTCCCTGACCATCTGTAGAAGGCAGCTGAGAGGCCGATGGGGTGCTTTCTTATGGGGTCTAGGGCACACCCTTTGTACTTGAATCGTCAAGTCTTTTGCTTATTACTTGTTCATGGTTTAAAAAAAGGAATGAAGGCTCCAATTGGATGATTCCTTGCAATTTTATCAGGGAGTGTGGGGTGGGAGTGGGGGGGGGAGGTCCATGTCGAGTATCTCCGAGAAATGAATGAATATAAAGCGCCCTGCTTGGTCTTTACTTTGGAGAGTGTTCATTCTCCCCCACGGTGTTTTCCAATGATTACAGGGTTTTCAAAGGACATTGTGGAATGAACTCAACGGAATAAAATTGTTTTCTGCTCCTGTGACCTGTGGTAGACGAAACACTGCATGTTGCCCTCCTCTTTCAAATTCACTGCTTTGGGATGCTCTCATCTCTTTGGAGGAACAATCCTGGTAGCGCAACAGTTTAAGGCCTTGGCTGCTATCCCAAAGGTT